AAAAAAAAAAAGCTTGTGCAAATCCCTGAACAGATGGAAAGATCACTGGTACATCTCAGGGCCAACATAGAGACAGGAAACAGTTGACACTCTTACATGATCTAATACTTATTTGTCTTTCCTGAACAGGTTTACTCTTAAAGTTAACTCCATTCTGGGAGAGTGAATGTTGAGTAGCTTCTGCTCAGCTCTGTTGATGGTTAGGACTTCCAGCCAATCAATCAATCAATTGAAACAGACTATTATGGATTTTAAAATAATATGGTTTTCATCAGTACCCATTTTCAGGTGTATCAACTCTAAAATCAGGAAATTAACTAGGCTAACTAATTATTTTCTTCTTCTATTGTCTCTTTTTTTTGCCATAATTTTCAGGTAACCTATTTGAAAACAGCGTAGTAAAACTGGGAATTCTTTTTTTGGTGTGCCACCCCAATATTTTTATTATGGCCACCCCATGAAACAATTCTGGAGGTGCCCCTGGTCTTCTCATTTGGCAAACTCTAATTTCAGGATTTCAGAGGGTGGAAACATAGTCAACACCTGTTTTTAATCCCGTCCAGCATGTAAAGAAAGCAGATATTTTCTGTATGCAGTTGTACTTTGGGGGCTGTGTAGCTGATAGAGCTTTAGTTTAAATATAAATCACTAGCTGTTAGAGTACCAGGAGTAAAAGTATCAGTTCAGACTATAACAGAACTCATGCCTGGACTTTTTAACACTCAGCTCATTGAGCACATTACAAGTGGACATGAATATGGCAAAAGAATGTGGATAAGCATGCGGAGTGCGCTTTTTACGATGCCATAAAACTAACATGGAACAGTCTAAAAATTTTAGATCAGCAGTAAGTGATAGAAGAAGGCCTAAATGACCAGAGGAACACCTTCCCACCCGATAAAGGTGATCATGTAACTGGATTCATGGGCTGTCTAAGTACCTAAAATGACGCTTCCAAAGCAAACATCCATTTCATCCTGAGGGATCATCAGTGGATACCTCAGTTATGGATCTGAATCTCTTTGCTTGATTTAAAGAAAACAGGTCTGAAGTCATAGAAATCACTAGTGCTGGAAGTTTTTTGTGAAGGTTGAAAAGGCTAAATCTACACAAACAAGTGGTGTCAGAAAAACTACTGGAAACATTAACTGGAGATCACAAAGGTCAAAGCAAATAAATACTAAATTAAAACTGGAGGTGGAATAACGTTTACAGACCTTCTATTCACAAGTACTCTCGAGTGACAGTTGACTGTGAAGGTTTGAGTTCACGTCTTTATGAACTTCTATTCACAGAATAAAACATATCCTGCAGGTTAACTCATTTTGCATGCACACTATCATTTTATGTTTCCATACAAGCTCACCTGTATCTGTTTGAAAGCTACCTGCTGTCACATCAGGCTTCTCGTTTCCAATCCCTACAATTTTAGACACCCCGTGGCCTCCTTTTTCCACCTGTTCTTCCGAGTGGTTGCCATCGTTGTCTATCTGCTGTGTGAGTGGATCAGCAAGAGCTTTGCGTCCTGTTTTGTCCTGATCATAGCTCTGCTCTCGTTTGACTTTTGGTCTGTGAAGGTAAGACATCAAACAGTTTGTGTGATCTAGTTACTTTTCTGTGGCTTGCTTTAACTTTGCAAAATTTAATTGCTCACGCTTGTTTTCAGAATGTGACCGGCCGTCTGCTGGTGGGGCTGCGCTGGTGGAATCAGATTGACGAGGATGGAAAGAGCCTCTGGGTATTTGAGGCCAAAAAAGTAAGAGGGTGTTTTGTGCATTTTGAGCAATAAAA